TTCACCGTGTTAGCCAGGATGGTCTCGATCTCCTGACCTCGTGATCCGCCCGCCTCAGCCTCCCAAAGTGCTGGGATTACAGGCATGAGCCACCACGCCCGGCGTCATCCTTCCCTTCTTTGGGAGACATTTCATACAGGTGTTGGTGATGAAGGGCGTGCCTTCTCGGTAAGGTTTGTGATACACTGTTGTGTGACATCTTCAGGCAGTTTAGACAAATTATAATCAACTTTGAAAAATATATGCTCTTTGAGGACCGAAACGGAACTGCTTCCATTTTCTTCATGCCTTCCCTGTGCCTTATTTCCTGTATTGTTTTGTGTGTGTCATCTAGTACGGCAACATATATCCTAATTATGGTTCCTCTGGCCCCCAGGTTATTGGCCTATTACATGAGAATATAAAAAGAATGAAAGCTAAATATTTTTGCTTTAAACAGTCAGTCATCTTTTATAGAAATGGTAGTGTGAAAGAATTAAAACAGGAGAATAAATAACAAAATATGAGAAGAAGGTCTTATATTCACATATTTACCGTATCTACTGCTCTGTATTTCTTTATGTAAATCCAATTTTCCAACTGGTATCATTTTTCCTTTTGCCTGAAGATCTTCCTGTTACATTTCTTGAAGTGCAGGTCTGCTGATGACAATTTCTGTTTGAGTTTTTATTTTGCCTTTATTCTTAACAGATGTTTTCACTGGATATAGAGTTCTAGGTTACTTCTAGGTGAATACCATTTTCAAACTGTCATTTCCATTGTGTTCTGGCTGGCAGGGTTTCTGATGAATTCTGCTGCTGCTGTTACGTTTGTTGTTCTGTGTACTATGTCTCTTCCCCTGGCTGCTCTTGTCTGGGCCTAACAGTTTGATTATGGTGTGCCTCAGTATGCTTTTCTGTGTGTGTGTCTTGCTTGGGGCATGCAGCCTCTTGGATCTGTAGGTTTATAGTTTCTATCAAATTTGGAAGTGTTCTGGCCATCATTTCTTAATCTTTTTCTGTCCTTCCCCTTCTTCCCCTTGTCCTTCGGGCCTGCAGTGTTGTGTGTGTTAGACTGCTGGATATTATCCTTCAGGTCTCTGAGACTCTATTCCTTTTATTTATTTTTTCAGCCTATTTTGTTTCCGTGCTTCTGTGCTTATTTTGGATAAATTCTATTGCTATATGTTTAAGTTCCCTGATTTTTTTCTTTACTTCTGCAATGTCTAGCCTGCACTTAATCTCAATCAGTGAAATTTTCATTTCAGATAATTATGTTTTCTTAAAATCTGTAAGTTCCACTGGATTCTTAAAAAAACTTCCTTTTTTCTTATGAATATCTATGTATTCTTTTAATATTGAACATAGTTATAATAGAAGTTTAATGTCTTCTCTCATCATTTCTCAGAAGTTTACTATTTTCTGATTTTTTTGCCCCTCCTGATTATGGGCCACATTTTCCTCCTTCTTGTCATGTTTAGGAAATTTTTTTTTTAAGGCTTCTCTGTACATAGTGAAGGAATTTTATATTAGATGTTGTGTATTGTGAATGTTACCTTGTTGAGTGTCTGTGCCTTGTTTTATTTCTTTTAGGAATATCACACTTTGTTTTGACAAAGCAGTTAAGTTACTTGCAGGTCTTTCTAATGCCCTGTAGGCCTGCTTTTAAGCTCTGATAGGGCAGATTTCATTTAACTTTCACTCCAGACATACTTCAATCTCACTAAGACCTGACCTCTCTGGGGGTCACCATTGAATGCCTTGGGTGGGTCACCAAGAACATTCCACTTTGGCTGGTTGGAGCTTCCCTACTTGTGTAAACTCTAAGAGTTGTTCATTTCACACCTTCTTGGTCATTTTCTGCCTTGCTTCGTGGAAGTTCACTCACACACGTGAGGCCTAGAACTTAGCACATTTCTGTAGCCCTCTTTCTGTGTAGCTTCCTGTAATTTCTAGCACCCTCAACCTCCCTGAACTCTGTTCTTTATTGTCTGCAGTATCTAATCTGCAGGGCTACTAAGTTTAATTTGAGGTCCCCTTCCCTGTACTTGGTGACCTAGAAATTATTAACACCTCCAGGCAGAAAGTTGGGGTGATTGTATAGCTTACCTTGTTTGTTTCTTTTCTTGCAGGGAGAAACAAATAAATCTATATCTTTATGCAAATTAGCTGAGCAGCCAAGTTCTGCACTGCCTAGTATCCAGTGCCTGCACGTAGTTCTTTCAGATATACTGTCAGGTTTTCTAGCTATTTATTGCAGGAGGTTAAGTGTGGTCCACACCTAGTCTATCACTGATGCAAGCAAAAAATTTCAGAAATTCCACTGAAATTGGTCCATTGAAAATAATTCTTGGCAGCTGAGTACTGTTCTAAATGACATGCCTGCATGTGTTAGAAGACTGAATTAAACATAATTTACATGAATTTGTGAGTGAAGCATGATAGTGTCCTCATGTCTCCCATTTATTTTTTACCTGTCCCACAGACTAGAACTGTTCCTACTCAGCAGAATGATTATGGTTTAAGGTAGTAGA